CATCTCTAGTATTCAGTTTTATGATATTTTGATATTGAATATTTCAGAGCATGAGAGCTCTTGTACTCATTTTGGGATTTTCTCTCTAATGAAATCTCTTTCTTGATTGGCTCCATTAGGGGCCTCCCCCAAGGGATGACGGGTTCAAATATTTTGGGTACTTTGGTAATTTCTTGTTACTTCTGCATTGTCCTAATTTTTATACTTATAAATAGATGAAGGGGGCACCACTTGTACTGTAGAGAGTCACAGTTATATCGTTTTCTGATCTTAGTGAAAACCACAGTAACCGTGAACGTAGCCCTATTCTGGGGTGAACTATGTAAATCTTTGTATTCTTGTGTGTCTGATCTTCGATTCGTTTTATCTTTCTTGTTTGTTACCGATCCTTGTTAGGAAGAGATGATTTCCTAACAGGACGAACACAAGAATCTAACTTTTTTGGTGTAGACACAATATCGAAACATAAAGTGTTTCAACACATTTCGAAGTTCATGTCACAAATGTCCACTGGTTAATTCTTGGACTAAACAGTGTTGATTATTTGAATAGCAAGTTCCTGTTTCCGATCTGTATTTCAAATCGTTAATTACACATTTTTAATTTACTGAAACCTCTGATTAATGAAGAACAAAAAATTAACAGAAAATAATTTAAGGAAAAGAAATATTTTATTGAAATTGTTGTGGGTTTTAAACCCTTGAATACAAAGTACAATTCTTGGGCTTGAAACCCTTTACCTATTGATTGCCATTATGCGTTTGTAGCATAGGCCCTTGAGTTCTCTGGGTTTCTCTTCTTCTTCTTTCTTGTGAAGACTTCTTTAACTCCTAATTTCTCTCTCTCTCTCTCTCTAACTTTTGATTTTTTATCCTTTCTCTTGTGTGATGGTCGTCATATTTATAGAGGACCATATATATGAGACTTTTGATGATAAACGTCATCATAAGATGCTCTTTAGTGACGAGGTGGTTCAACCAAATTATGATGAAGAAGATGTGGAAGAAAGTAGTGATCATGGGCAAGATTATGATCCGGATGTTCCTATCTTTGATGTTGGAGCTTCCATCTTTAGTGGAGAAGATTATGAGCAAACACAAGGTTGTAATCAAGATGTTCCTATCTTTGATGTGGAACAAGGATATGACGCAAAATGTTTCCATCTTTGATGAACCAATGAGTGGGGCGTTCGATTACGATGAAGTTAATGTTCATGAATATGAAAAGAAAGTTGATGTTTGTGCATATGGCGGAGCTCCAATCTTTGACCACTATATGATGATGATGATAACTTCCTTGTAGAGAGCAAAGGTGTAGTGTTGTAGATGAAGCAAGTTTTGCTCTTACATTGCTTCCCATGAAGGAAGTGGTTGCAATCCCTCCTATTCCTTTTCTAGATTCCAAGAAAATTATGGTGAAGAGTCATAACATTGAAATTTCATGGGTGTTGAATGATCTTTGCTTCCAAGAAATGCTTCTTATGCTATCTTCAAAGCCATTTGTTCCACTTTGTGTTGACTTGGTACCCAACCCGGCTTTATGGAGGAAAGATGCGTTTATTTTGGGCCCATGCAAGAAGCATTATTTTGATGACATCTTGTTTCCAAAATGGCATGCTACATGGGTGGCCTATTCACACCTCAACATGGCTTCGGTTGATGTCCATAAACAAGAACTCGTTTTGATGGAAGGATATTTGCAAGGATGCTCTTGAATATAGACTTGTAACTACTTAGTCTTGTTCGGCATTGCATGTCCATCATACTTCCATAAGTCATTGTTTTGAGTCATTTTTTATTATTATTTTGTTGTCTTGAGTCAATTTGTTGAAGTCCCAACTTGAGGACAAGTTGTTTTCTTTAGAGGGGGAGTCTGATGCAGTTAGTATTAGTATGGTTGTTATGTTTTTAGGCTGCGTAGTTGTCAATAGCCTATAAATAGGTGGTTAGGGTCTTTGATAGTCAGTTTGATGATATTTTGATATCGTAATTAGAGCTTTGGCGCTTTTTACACCAATTTGGGACTTTCTCTCTCTAATGAAATCCATTCCCTAGATTGATTTCATCAACTACCATAAGCTAATCATCCAATTGAGCGCCTCTATGACTAAATAGAACAGCTAGAGAGATAATAAATAAATGTGCTTGAAAGAAACTGATAGTCACAATGTCATCACGTCAAATCCTGGAACTTAATTGCCATTAAGGGAACTACCAACTTCTTTCGTGAAAGGCCTCTCCAACCGCTCTGATTCCTCCTAAGATATATTGTTAAAATCCATATCATCCATGTACCCCACTTTCTTGGAACAAATCCACATCAAAGTTTCCAATTCCATTTCAAATCTCTGACTCTTTCACAAACAACTTAGCTAATCAGTTCATAAGTCGACATATTCTGGCTGTTGCAAATTTTTTTAACCAAAAAATAAGTAATAAATTTACTTTCTTTAGGATAAGCTACGATATCAAGGATCTCTTAGCCAAAACATAAAAGTTACAAACATTAGGGATCACCTGTTTGTGAAATGTTTGTGAACCACATTGAATCCCGTAGTTGGATGAAGAAAGGACAAAAAAACTATATTGAGTACCATACTTCTTCCTATTGTAAGGTCAGAACAAGGATTTCCCAAATCTTCTGTGCTCCCCCAAGACTACAAAGAATGCAATCACGATCCATACTCCATAGAGTACATTAAAACTTGATTTAACTCCACTACAGCCAACAAAAGGCAACTAGCCTTATAAAAACTTAACTTAGATACACACTTATAAGAAACTTGTACTATAACATGAAAAACAAAAACAAGAATGCATTATGTGCAGAAATATTTCATTCAACAATCTGTTGAATGAAAATAAAAAAAGCAAACAAAAGAAACCTTGTATGCAGCATCTTTCAATGTTTGAAGATTCTCCAATTTTAGCTTATACGTTTTTATCTCTTGAGCCTGCTCCTTGTGAAGCTTCTTGATAACTTCGAGGGCTTTTGTGTACCTGATTTAAAATTAATACACATATAGAAACCAATTTAGCTAAACTCATTAGCAATAGCCCATTCAAGAAAATTAAGCATAGTAAGAATTAAACAAGAACAATGGTCCAAAATAATAATGTTATCACATATGATAATGTTAATAAGGTTTCGTTTTATTTTTCTTTTTTCAATTTGACAAGTAGGCTATCCCTGAAGGCATTAAATGCAACAACCCATTTTGCTAAGAATACCCAAAGAATTTATGTCCAGTTTCACCAAAATTTTATAATTTCAAGCAAGTCGAATACAAAAATTCTCCAAATCACTAGGAGTGAGACCATTGATATTACCAAATAAACTTTGTGTAAACCTTTCAATAGTACACTCATGACAAATTATGTATAAACTTCTCAAGTTCAATTATTTTACAGTCAAAATTGTTTTATGCAATATGCGCCAACATTCTAAAAGGTTAAATACCCCCAAAAAGGAAATTGAAGATATTAATGAATGGATTCCGCAACAAAAAACCAAACTAAACTAGGTATTGTGTCCCAATCAAGTAGGGTTGACTACATGAATCATTTTTCGCCAAAAGAAAAAAGGAAGAGAAAAAGAAAGAAAAACAACCTAATTGCAAGAGGTGGTGGAAACAGTATACTAGCTCAAGATAATTAATTATTTATACAAGCAGTATCGAGCAATGCTTAAACACAATGACAAATATCTACATATTCCTATGGATGGCAATAAAGCTATAGTTAACCAAATAATGAAATTTATAGCTCACTGGATCTTATTCAGAGATTTTATCTCTTGCTCCAACTAACCAAATGTCATCAACTACTCTAGAGAAATTGTAAATCTGCTCTTACAAAAACTACTAGAATTTTAAGTTAGACTGAAACCAAATTGAAAGCTTCCAAAATTTGGAAATAACAATGTCAAACTCGATAAGAAATGAGAAAAGGCAAGATATGAAAATTGCATAGTAATTTCAGGAATTGTTAAGAATGAAATAAATACATACTGTATTTCAAAAGCATCACACAAGACAATCATATAGAGAAAAAGTTGGATAAACGAAAATTCTCATAATCAAATATTTTTGATACCATGGAATTTTGGGTACAAAACCATGTCACTCAATTTATCTAAAATAATACAGAAGCATAACAAAACTAATTAACTATAGAAAAACAGACTGTACTATTTTAAAACATGAAAATGTAATGAGCTTGTCAAATTGGAGCAACAAGGGACAGAAAGTCAAAAGCAATAACAAACATCAATAGAATTAAATCGCTGAGTTTAGCAAGTTTTCGGTCAAATTGTCAAGTCCCTAGTTGTAAGAATCTTACAATTCATGATTCGAATATTATGACGATTCAATTTTACCCCTATTCACTTCAAATATATTGCCTGAATCTCATATGATAACAAATCGTAATAAATCTATCAGCATTGTGCTTGAATCTTATGAGTCGTGATTATTATACGATTCATGTGATTTGGTGTAGTCTTTCAAATTCAACAAAAGTAAAAACCATTTTTTTTCAATTTGTTTCTCCTTCAAATAAACCTCACAAAGACTTTCAAATGCCTCTAAGCTTAAAATATCATACTACTTGAGTTGGTAAAGAGGTGCAGGTTCTAGATGGTGAGGGGCGCTGAGGAGTGCCCTCTGGAAAGATGGCAAGAACTGATGTGGCTGGAGACCACCGGAGGTTTGAGAGAAGAGAGCCAAAAGCAACCTTAGCAGAAGGAGGGTGGCTATGGAGACTTGTATGCTAGAGAAGTAAGGATATGCAATTGTGTTGTTGTGCAATGCATGGTGAACCACTTCATATAGGGTAGCAGAGTGTTTTAAAAGGTGAGCCTAAGCACACACTTAGGCCCAAGGCACACCTGAGGCACCTCGGGCAGCTTGAGGCGAGGCGTTGTAGGAAAGGCGCATCTGAGGTGCTTGAGGCGTGTGCCTTAGGCTTAGGCACAAGGCGCACGCCTTATGTGCTTCATTTAAATTTTTGCTCCATCCTTGTTCTTTGTGTGTGTAGCCACAAGGAATCACAACCCCATTAATATAAAACGTAAACCCAATTTTCATATTAAAAAAAAAAAAAAAAGTCCTAGGCATTGAGCAAAAGCTCTAGGATTGCAAGATGGTTATACAACATGTGAGATTCCTTTCAATATAGTGAGTTATGATAGTTTTGGGCCAATGATTGAAGCTATTACGCAAGTTGGTCTCGGTTTAAAATCAAAACCACTAAGATACTATACGGTGCGAGCCTTATCTATAAAAAAAAATTAAGAATCACATCAATAAATTGATGAATACAGACAAATAGTACTAGGTAAAGTAAGGTTGAATGTTACTTTTGAGAAATTTTTGGAATGTTTAATGTTATTTTTATAGTTTTTGGAATATTGAATGTTGTTCTATGTTTTTTGAAATTCTTGAAATATTTATTTATGTTGAAAACTTTGCCTATATTAAAATTTTGTTTATCTTCTACAACTTGCGCCTTCCTTTGGCGAAGCACGCACCTTGCCTTGCGCCTCACGGTTAGGCTCCAGGATACCTTAGCGTCTCAATGCGCCTAGAGCTTTTTAAAACACTAGGGTAGGGAGCCTAAGGGATCTAGCCTAATCGAAACAGGAACCTCCATTGTTAAGAAATAAAGGAAAACTGTGGTAACTTTGCAACCTTTGGTATAGGTCCCAAGGGATGCATCATACGTGGACAAATGGTAGATATGGTACATCCCTTTTTGGAGGTGTCATAGTGGCTCAAAGGGGGGATGATACAGTTGCCGAGGTATAACATGTCTTATAACATAACAATGGCATGGTGGTCAGGACTCATGTACCTACATGGACATTATTCTTAAATTAATTCAAAGGATGGTTGCCAATTGACTTGTAGAAGGACAAGTCCCAATTTGCATTTTGGTGTACCTCGGAGAAAGAAACGAAGGAACACAAACCATAAGAAGAAGAAAGAGTTAAAAGAATGATAAAGTTCAAAAATTGATTGGTTTCCAGCCAAATCCAGTTGGGTGGGCCTAATTGGAATCATGAGTAGGGTAGTCAAGTTATCAGCCTTAGGTTACATGGGTTGTAGGTGTCCTCAATGGAGGGTCAAATTATGTGATTAGGTTTTTATTTAGGTTTCTAATTAGATTTAGTTAGGTTTTAGAGGTCAAGGTTTTCAAATAGAAAATCAAAATTGATTTTAGGATAACGAGTTATATAAAGTTGACAAAAAGTTGTGTATTACTTTTAATGTTTGTTACATGGACTTTTCTAAATGTTTGAAGTACTTGTGTCAAACATCGGCACATACATGTGCAATTGGATATTCCCCTAGTAAATACATCTAGCAATTCAAGTTTACCATAAAACTATGCATAAAACTCTCATGCTATGCATAAAATGATCTTTACCAGCATGTAAGCACCATTTCACCCCAAAAAATAAAAGAATAATATTATGAAATATAAATATTTTACCATGTCCCCATAATACTTGTGATGCAGGCGACAAGAAGCTCAAAGAAAAGTAAATTCAAAGATGTAGAAATATTTGGAAATAGGCATGACTTAATCGTGAAGCCTATAAAAACCACGCATAGTCAAGTTACTAGTTCTAGTAGTCCTATTTGTGTTTTAAATAGTAGATAGTTTTTAATAAACTTAATGTCAGGAGTACTTCGATAATTGACAAAGCATCTAGATGTGGGTTGTAAAGTTGTCCATGAGTCGTCATATGAGTCAATGTAATAAGGTTTGTATTTGTGGTCTTATTTAGGTTTAGAGAGTTTTGGAAGTCAAGAATAGATAAACGCCATGTTATACTTATGATTCAATGACGAATATGAATAAAAGAATCTTTAAAGCTTTTGAACGTTCTTTCAAATTGGATATATTCTAAGCCTATTTGTTATGAAGCGCCGACACTCCGAAACAAGCAATGTTAGACATGGGGACACGCCACGTGGCATGTCACTTTATTTAATTAATTTGCTTTCAGGGACACGTCGGGGACCCACTAACTAGTTTTTTTTTCCCCTCTTTGGTGCTTTTGATAAATGTTGGATGGTGAATATTTATTATTTTTTGCTTAGATTTAAATAATTAATAGGTATTCATAAAGATAAAAATAAAAAATAAACGATAAGAGTTTTAAGAGTGGGATTTTTAATTTTGATTGTTTGTGAATGTAATAATCTCCATAGCAAATGTATATATATTATTGTCGTGTCTCTACCATGTCTGTGTCCCCATTTTTCTCATATCAACGTGTCTGCGTCCATGTCCATACTTCTTAGCCTATTTGTGATGCTGATGGAATCTAGGAATGATGCCTAGAGGGTATTTTCTTTCTTTCTTTCTTTCTTTTTTCTCTTTAAAATTTATGTACTTTTAGCCTCTAAAACCACAAAACTGGATCTGTATTAATCCCTGTCAAACCCTCAAGCATCACAATTCTGTAAATCTAGCACCTTAACTTGCAAAAGATGACTAAACCAAGAAAGTTATTGTGAGCGAGTACCATTCACAATGCCCAGAACCAGTCCCTAAAACCTTGTTTTATTCATTCCCAAACTCTTACCCTTTTGTTGCACCTTTTGAAATCACAGAATCCCATATTTTACCACAGTTCCAGTCTTTGAAAAACAAACAATTAAAAATCAGACTCAAAACCTTTCTTTTCTGCTGCTATACATTAGTTTTGGTCTCAATAAGAGTGTTCACTGCACTCATCCTTTGTCACCTCCAAGGCTAAAATAGACAGTCTTGAGTTGTTTATGTAGTAAAGCAGTAGGACGATTATTCCATTCCTAGAGACAAATTTAGACTTTATTGAAAACCCTACATTCATACTAATCTTTCAACCACAAAACCAATTAAATTAGCTTTAAATGTCTACTTTTTCTGCTCCCATATATTAATTTTGGATTGATGGGAGTGTCCCCAGCCAGGGGCAGAGCCACACGGGGACTGGGGGGGCACATGCCACCCCTCAATAAATATTTTGGGTAAATTATTACACTTTGCCCTCTTTATGTTTGGCCACTTTCCCACTTTGGCTTTTAAATTTTGTTTTTTCTCACTTTGACCCTTTATGTTTGAAGTTTTTTTTACTTTACTCCTAAAACTAATTTATGTTAAAAATTGGATAGAAAATGACACATTGACAGCTACGTAACATAAAAATATTTTATTATATATAACTCACATCTCTGACATAAACTTAAACACCAATATAATAATATATTTTTTATGTTATGTGACAGTTATTGTGACACTTTCTGTCTAATTTTTATCAGAAATTAGCTTTATGAGTAAAGTGAGAAAAACATGAAACATGAAGGGTCAAAGTGAGAAAGTGACTAGAAATTTAAGAGCAAAATGTAATTTACCCAAATATTTTTAATTGTCTCCTTTAAAGCTTCAAGTATTCCCCTTAAATCTTTGGACCTCTTTTATTTTCAACAAAATCTTTTTCAAAATCAACGAGGTTAGTCTATCAATCAAAATCCTTGCATTTCACTATGAGGTCAGAGATTCAAATCTCCCAATCTGTTAGTGGGTTATATTCTCAAATCTCGATATACTTATTTAGGTTTTTTTCTCTTACTTAGGGAGTTTCTTTATATTAGTTATATGTTGTATTGATTTTCATTATGATTATAATTCATTAGTTTCATTGTAAAGCCATTCATTAATTAAAAAAAAAATCCCTGCAAATTGCCATTCTAAATGCTTAATTTTGCTAAAATATTTTCTAATAAATTCTATATTATTTCTTTTCACCCTCATTTCTTTCTCCTTCACTCTATTTTTATTTTTTGCATGTTTTGGTGTAATTTTGTCATTCTCATTTTTAGTGGAGGCTTGTGATAGCATTTTAAATAATGATGATCATCATGTTTACAAAATAAAATAGAAAATCAAATTAATAATATAAAAATATATATAAAAAATCAACAAAACAAAGAACAAAAATCGATTAACTTGAGCATAACTCTAAACATGTAACTTTGGCATCATGCTCATCTTTATTTGTTTTACAACCAATTGAAAATCGGGGTAAAATGCCTTGTGATAGATCTTGTTATGACTTCAAGATCACAAGCAATCATTCAAGGACATGGAGCAATCCATATATAGGCTAAATAGACAGTCTTGAGTTGTTTATATAGTTAGGTGGCGGGAAGATTATTCCATTCATAGAGATTACTTTAGACTACATTGATAATACGGAAAAGTACATCGTTGATCCCTTTATTTTGAGGGAAATTTACTTTGGTCCTTGTAGTTTCAATCTGATTTGAACCTTACATTTTTAGTTTTGTTGCAATGTTGGTCCCTTCGTTACTTGCCATTAGAATTTTAAACAAAAACGACCACGTGCAAAACTAGAGGGACAAAAATAGAATTCAAAAGAAACTATAGGGACAACCGGTGCAATAAATAAATTACACTAATAGTCCTCATAGTATCCTTTTAATTCCACTTTGGTCACTCTAATTTTGCGCATGGTCTTTTTTCCATTTAAAATGTTAACAACACATAATGGAGGGACCACATTGCAATAAAATTAGAAGTATAGGGTTCAAATTGTTTGAATTGAAACTGAGAGACTAAAGTGAGTTTTCTTAAATTGCAGGGACTAATGATGTTATTTACCCTTGATAATATATCTCTTGTGGAGTGAATAGGCCCATGTAAAATTTCCATGTACAACTGTTGTAGGCCATCTTTTATTGCCTCTTAGTGATCATCTTTGTCTTTCAATATACATGTCTATATATTGTATATTCCAAGGCTAGAATTTCTAACTTTCATGTAACTGGTTGCTGCTTATTTTCTCAAGTAATTTATGTCACAATTGTTAGTTATGATGAGAAGAAGAAAAAGAATAAACAAACTTTTAAGGCTGATTGACATTGTATATTGTGCAAGTATCTGGCTCTACACTTAGGTCACATCTGTTAGCATCATTTGACATACAGCTCGAGTCATTAGCACCAGATGATACTCATAAAATAGCATGTCTCGTAGAGAGGTATCACTTGTTGAGTGCCACCAAAAGTTAAAGACACAATACAGGCTAGACGGTCACAACAAGCTTTCTCCAATGACCATAGAATGAAGGTCCTAATTGAAGTAAATATTAATAGTTTGTTTTGATTTTATAAGCCTATATATATAGGTTGATGTGTATTGGACTATTATGTTTTTTATATTGGCTTACTATTGAATTTGAGAATTCAGTATACTATGCCTATCTTCTCTACAAATTCTTCTCTCAGACCGTTCTTATTTTCTTCCTCTTCTTCTACTCTTCCCTCTTATATTCTTTGCTTCACTGATTTCTTTCCCCCATTGGTGCTACATAATAAAATTTTTGTGGACAGCGATTAAGTACTTCAAGAGATGTTCTATATTGTTCATGGATATACACTATATATATGCATCTAACAGCAATGTAATCCAAGTTAAGATAAGCCTGCTACCAAAAACAAATGGACAGTATACACAATAAAACACACTACAGTGGTAAATCTCATGTCAGAAAAACACAAAATTGGATCAGTTTTCAGAGCACATTCAAAAATACCTAGTAGCAGAGAAGATATCATCAAACTTCTTTTTCAATGTAGAAGGATCTTGCAAAGGCCAGTTGGCCTCGTCTTGATGCACAAATATAACATTTTCAAGGATAGCCTTTGAGACACCCATAAGAGCAGGGATTTCACGATCCATGTCAGCACATCTATAGCTTAGGCAAACTTTCTGCAGTTCAAAAACAATAACAAAAATTAATATGAAGCAGATATTTTTCCCAAATTTCACAATCAGCAGACACAAATATTAGTGTAGAAAAAATACAATTCGAACAACTACTGTGGCTAATAGAAACGAAATGAAGCACGGGTACAAATACGAGTACTAGTATGGGTATGATACGGGTACGTTGATACAGTAAAATCCAAAAAATGTAGGATACGGGTACGGCTTGGTACATTTGTAAAAAAAATATTTATTTTTAATTTGGAGTAATGTAAAAATTGATTAAATGGTTTAATTTGTTAAGATCCAACCTACAATTAATCAGGGGTTGTAGATGGTTGGAATGGAAAAGCAAAAATCATAAGGAACAGAACAGTGCATGTAAACTACTAGAGAAGCACCAGCAGTACAGCAAAGAACTTCAATAAAGAAAGGCCTATGAAGGAGGTCATTGGCAAGTCGACAGACCATGGGCCCGTTGGAAATTACGATAGCACTGAGACAGAGCATGACCAACAAGGTGGACAGGGAGAAAGCTGAAACAACCTTAGAGTGGAGACAAAGAGTGGCAATAAGTGAGAACCTCAGTGGAAGCCTCCTTTTGTATAGGGTTGGGATATTGGGTGCACTTACCCTTGCATGGTGCCGCATGCTTGGAGAGAGGTGGCTCATCCACCTTTGCCCAACTATACCAATGCTTAGACCTCAGGGGTTGTATCAAAGATTTGTGCGTGGTAGGTATGATACACCTCACAAGGTATCAGATGACTTGGTCAAATTATGGCTTGCTTCTAAAGGCATCTCTCACTTCTCTAAGACTATCTAAAGGAGAGCCATTCTGAGGGGGTGAGCCAAGCAACTTTGGCAATCCCTCAACTTTAATCACCCCATCCACAAGTACTTATCATACCACGTGGGGTTATTTGGTTCACTTGGGCATCCTATGACAAAGTTACCGTGCCCAATGGGGTTCCTAGGCCCTGTTCCTAGTCTAAGCTGGCATGGCAGCAACAAGATATCTTTTTCAATCATAGCTTTACCATGGTCAGACAAAGTGACAAGGCAAGCAGAGCTAGTCAAGTGGAGTCGGGCTCCATGAAGAGCAGCATGAGCGGAGCTCAATGAGCAAAGGCAGGCAACACCATGTTCAAGCAAGGGGGTTCACTTGAACCCTCCAAGATTTGAAATCTTTTATTAGTTATGACAAGTTTTATTATTGAAAGTCAGTTATACGTATTTCATGAACTCTCTCATTTTATTGGTTGAACCATCTGTGTACTTTCTAGACTACCCACTTTCTTATCTCCTGTCTCTAATTCTTTATTATTTTCCTCAAGTCTTTACACTACCAAGAAAAATATTACATATAACCTTCTTTTTTTTTATGTTATTTTTATACCCCTAGATACAAGTGAGTGAATTTCATATTTATTTATTTATGTGAGTCACATTGTTTTGTCAAAGAGTTCGAAAATGAGATAAGAAAAGTGATTATGTATGTCATTGCTCTTTAAAAATAGTTTATTTTTAACTTTAAATCTCAACACTTAGTTCCTCTATTTTTCTGATGTGGCATATTGTCATTCAAAGTACTATAGAATGTGCTACAGAGAGTCCATTATAGAGGATCCAAATTCGTAGAAGTACTTGTGTTCCTGTCTTTTTGGTTAAAACAATATTAGTTTTTTTATTTATAATTTGAGAAGTTTTTTTTATTTTAGAAATAAAAAAACAGAAACTAATATGAAAATCTTGCTTGATAGACTATTTTTTGGGAAAAAATGAAATAATACTCCTTTTAAGAATTATTTTTTAATTTTCAAACATTGTTTTACATTAAAAAAAAAATTAAAGATATTAATGTTGAGTGATTTTAAACATTTCATTGTCTTTGTCTTTAAACATGAAAAAATAAAATATCAAAAATATGACAATATCAAAAAAAAAAATTGAATGGCCCCACTCCCAAAATTTTCTAGAGTCGCCACTGGCAGGCAACCAAAGCTGGCCGAGTTGGATACTAAGCTAAAGTTCACTAACGCCTTGTATTGTGAAGAATTGGTTTGAGACAACCCCTAACGATGACGTGGCTTGCAACATAAGGAGGCCAAATACATGTATCAACAGCTTGATATAAGAAAATACTATTGACAATGGGGGCTTATAGAAGTGAGAAGTTGTGGACATGTTCAAGACAAGTGTCATGAAAGTCCTACGTTCTTTTGTTGGGCTCCCAAGGATCAAGCTTTTCAAATATATCAAATAATAGAACCTTGGATTGGACAAAAACCAAAGTATAGAAAAACAAATAAAGAAAAACCAAACTCAAGGTCTAGATGGGGAGTATGATACAGAGGCATAATCTTCATTGATGTGGCGTCTATCAAGGCAGTGTATGTGACAGCCATATGGGTGACGTGTCAATTTACCAATATTAAGTGTCTTATTAGTTTCTAGTCATAGTATTTATTAGTCAATGATGTTAAATAAAGCCTATTATTATAGCTTAGAAGTTGTGACTTGACTGACTAGCAAGTTAAAAAGTTGTCTATGTAACCGAAAGTTTTGTTGAAAGTTATACAAAAATTAACAGGAGCCTTGGATGAAGTAATCTTATAATGTGTACATATATAATATAAATATATCTGAAGGAAAGGGGAAAAAAAGTGATTTTGATTCTAAATTTTTGTGCAAGTGTGTCTTGCTTGGAGTGAGTGATTCCTCCAACAATCAAGCATGTGGCTTGGTCGAGTGAGTTGTATCAACGATTAGTAGCGTTGAGTGGCATTCTCAGCCTACCTCTGATGAGTTTTAGAGAGTAATTCCAATAACAGAGCTTGATAAAGCTCCATCTTAATGAGTGTTTTTAAGCATAGGAAGTTCGTGTGTGAGGACTCGGCCCTGCAGCTACTTCTACTCCTTCAACCACTACGTCTGCACACAAGAGGCCAGCAATCAGCCGTCATTCCTTTACTATTCAGATTCGAGATTGCCTTCAAAGTGTGATATTGTGGGCTGTAATTTATAAGATTTCAGTCCTACCTTCAGTTTAAGTTCAGTTCTATTGTCTTATTTAATAAATAAATTTTTTCATCAAGAAATGAGAGGAGAGAAAAAGGTAGCAGAATTACATTTCTGGTGATTCTCTTTGGCCAATAGAAAGTAAAACAATAACACATGAAAAAGGGGCATCCAATCTCTACAAATCAAAACCAAAGGCACCCCCTTACAGTGGGACGATACCAAAACCCAAAAAGAAGACAAATAACTAATCATGTCCCATAGTCATCAATATCTTCAAACTTGTCATAAAAAATTCTCGCATCTCTTTCCATCCAAATAACCCCAACCGCAGCACATACCATACTATTCCACAGAATTTTTTATTTTTTACTTTTTTTTTCATAACCAGGTGTCCAGGCTAACTTGCTCACACCTCGACTAATCTCGGGACCCTAGAGTTAATGACTAGGAAAACCTCTAGTGGCCCCTTGGGTGACTCGAATTCGAGACCTTGGATCTTATCCTCAAGTCTTTACCACTCGACTAACCCCTTATTGACAATAAAACATTCTTGCATCTCTTTCCATCCAAATAACCCCAACCATAGCACATGCCATACTATTCCACAAATTTTTTTTTTTTTTTTTCTTTCTTTTTTTTTTTTTTTTTTTTTTTTCATAACCAGGTGTCTAGGCTAACTTGCTCAAACCTCGACTTATCTCGGGGCCCTAAAGTTAATGACTAGGCAAACCTCTAGTGGCTTCTTGGGTGACTCAAACTCGAGACCTTGGATCTTATCCTCAAGTCTTTACCACTCGACCAACCCTTTATTGACAATAAATCTCTAGAAATTGAGCTTAGAAGAACCAAAATCTCTTAGTAGTTCAGCTACTTAACTAAATTCACTCCCAGTTCCTCACTGGCGTTTCTACACTACACTAAAATGAGTTTTAAATACGTTCACCAAAACCATTTATCACTCACTTCGAAGGGCTTTCAATAGGATCCATCCTCAACCTCTGCCACATACAATACACAAATGACAAACCTCAACCACCAATCCACAAACCTATCACATCAATAGATGTACAAATCTATAAATTGAACTCAAAGGTTATGCCCAACGTATCGAAGTTAGACAAGTGAGGTGTGTGATACTCCCTCCGTCCCATTTTGTTGGTCCATTATTTCATTTTTTGTTGTCCCAAATTGCATGTCCACTTTGAAAGGCCAAACCAAACCAAGCCTAGCCTTAAATCCCATCAAATGGGGTCGGCTACATGAATCCTTTTTCTCCATACGGCCCTATCAAAGTTTTAAATTTAGAAGTTTTCAAAATTACCCCTTGTTTTGGAATTAACCCTTTAAAATTTGAATTCAAAGTGCAATGATTATGTTTCCTTAAGAAGTTTGAAATTTTCAAAAGAGAACACCAATATGGGACGGATGGAGTAGTCAACAATGTACAGACTACACTTTTTAAGGATGAGAAAAGTACCTTCCATGAGTAAAGAGCTTCAAGACTCCAATGGAGCAAACTCTTGGAACTTGGAAGACTTGTGTTGAAGGATGAAAGCTACACTCATTCACAAAGGGTAAGTACACCCTTAAAAATGTGATTGAAAGGTTGTAAGGTTGTAGAAGTGTCGACATTCAACTAGCCTTTTATCATCAAGAAACCTCAAAATGGGGTGTGGATATAAATAATCAAGCCCTCCAACGGGTATACACGACCAAACTTTCCAAGTTGTTTTTAACTATGGGTACAACGAACCCACTTTTTGGATTCCAGTTTGATCCACCAACCTAAGAAGTTTGGTTGTTGAACCTACAGGGACAGCCAACCTATCTCGGGACTTCATTTTGGTCAACCAACCTATGTGATTTGGTTGGCCAATTGACCTAACCCGGTCTTGATCAACGAAGCTACTTGGGTTGTTAAACTGTTTACACGGTTTTCTTGGTCGCCACTTTGTCGAAGCCATCTTAATGTCAGTGAAGATTCCCCTTGACTTCTTCCATGAATCTTTAAAGCTCTTGAGGTTTCTAGGTCTGCTAATGTGCTTCCCCACATCAATGGTTTGGGTTTCTACCCAAGGATACATATAAGTCCTGAAATTGTCAACCTGTGATAGATCAAGCAGTAACACAAGCCACAAGTGCCTAATGACTCCACAACTAAGAAAATCAAAGACAAAATGTAAGAGACATCTGCATACAACTCAATTGCTCCTACAAAGTTGTGGCACCATTAAAAGGTTCCAAATTGTCTTTAAAGCACTCTTCAATTAAGCTTATGGTGCCACTGTTATAGGAAGCCAAAATTCAAAGGGTTGTGCCTCCTTGGCACGTTATCTAATACAATTTTCTTTGTTGTTGTTCAATATAAATGTGTGTGTGTGTGCACGCGCGCGCGCGTGTGTGTGTGTGTTTCGATAGATGGGAAACAAGTTCTTTACTTTCTGTCACTAGAAAAAAATTACTAGTATCAAATCAAATAAGCAAAGCTTCAACATACAAATAGAATTTAACCAACACATTAAGATATCACTATCAAATGATTATTCTAGTATAGGAAGGTATGTTGGAACCGTTTATAAACAATTTGCACAATCTTTTTCTTATTACATATAAAACTCGTACACACTATTTCAAGCATGCAAGTGCTATAACTTCTTTTTTAACCTTTGACATTATCGTGAGACATTTCTAGGGCACAAATCCTTTCTTGTTTTCTATTCCCTTTTTTTGTAAAAGATTATCATAGCATGACTCTAGTTAACAAAAATTACAATACGCATGCCCAAAATTATTATTGAACTTCTAAGTGAAATGCACTTATTCATTACAGCACCTAAATCATCCATTGATGTCAATTCACTAAACTGACTGAAATAGGAAAAAGATTATGGTTGTTTTAAATGTATAATATGCCAAAATGAAATCTGCTATTCACAAAGAAATGTAGGATGCCTCTTCGATCTGTCCAGCCTGGACAACAGAACTGAACCCAACTAGTTAATTTCTGTACCAGTCCCTTAAATGGCAGGTATCTATAACAATCACCAATTCAAAATGAACTAGAAGTACCACAACCACGTCCTAGAAATATAAAAAAAGACTGATCATTTTAGGACACTGTTAAAACTCCAAATTCAATGGCTGGATATAATACGGCAATGAGAACAATACTCAATTAGGTATACAATATTACTACAACATTGAAACATATATTACAACACAATAGAACAAAACAGGTGGTACCTCTCCTGTATGAGGATTAAGTGTCTGAAGCACACTCTCAATTGCCTTGTACTCCATCTTGGATGCCTTCTGAGTCAGCTGAAATGACCTTATACAGACCACATCCTTTCCCGCTGCTGTCTTGAACCGGAGCTTTATCTGCCCCTTTGTTTCTGTCTCACCTGCAACCTACTCCGACAATCACCCCATTACGAACGTTAAGCATAGGCTTATCAATATACATATAGGCATATAAAAATATAGATGTTACCCTACAATCCAAACTACTCATCTGTTTATGAAAATTATAGATACTATTTATGGTCCCCTACAAGCCACACCCACACATAAACATGTCTATTTCTATATTTTTTAAAAAAATCCATATATATTTGTATGTGTGTGTATTAGTGTCCAAACTAGGCCTTGTGTCCCAATTAAGTGAAGCCTGCTACATAAATCTTTTTTCGCCATTCAACTCTAGCAAGGTCTACATGCTTAATTAAATTAAATAAATGAATATCTTTTTTTAACTACTAGTCTACTACATCCCATGTTAATTAGGTCTTTCCACTCCCCTAGCATCTCCATTTATGGTGATTTTATCACTCTTCCTTATTGTTGTTGTACATAACCAAATCATTTTAACCTGATGTCTTTCAATTTCCCTTCAATAGGTACTACTCCTACCATTTCTTTTTTTTTTTTGATAAATAATACTACTCCTACTATTTCATCTATATAGTCATCTTTAGTTCTTATTTTTTCTAGTCTTATCATACATCCATCTATATGCATTCTTTTCTCAGCTGCACTCATTTCATGCACATGCTCTTTCGTAGTTGTCCAACAATCTGTCCCGTAAAACATCGATGAACTTATAACACTTTCCATAAAATTTCCCTTTTCAATTTTGTTGTTACAAGTTTCAAAAAAAAAAAAAAATTGTTTACCCCACATGAACCACAAGCATCAAGTTCTCACCCCATTATCAAAAATAATACATATACATACAGATATATCTATATATATATATAGAGAGAGAGAGAGAGACCTTGGGGTCATGGACGAAGCTGTGACCAGAGCGGGCATTTGGGGGCAACTCACCAGTGCAAGAGAGCTTCAAGCACTCAATAATAGTCTGAAATTCAACCAATCAATCAATCAATCAATCAATATGTATACAGATATATAGATATATGTAGAGAGAGAGAGGGGGGGAGGAGAGAGAGAGAGAAATACAGTTTTGCCGGCGCCGTTGGGACCGACGATGAGGGTTAAGGGCTTGAAGAAGGTGATGACGTTCTTGTTCTCAGGATCGAAGCTCCGGATGCCCTTTATCAGCATTTTATCCACCGTGCTCATCTTTGCTGATAATAATAGAGATTCTACCTCTTGTTCTTCAGATTATCTATGCATATACATCCATTCATACATATACCGAGAGATGATTCAAGGTTTTACATACAGATGAAGAAGAAGAGGGAAGAGGGTTTATGAGCACAACTGGAGAGAGAGGTTTTTCGCTAGTTACGAGTCAGTGTGGACATGGAAATTCTATTCCCGCTTACCTAATTACCTCTATTTTCACGTACAGAAATTTTATTGGGGTAAATTTCTTTTTACACTGTACTTTACACTAGGTAATTTAGTCCCATTAGGGTTGTTTGGGTTGTCCTAAATAAATATATTTTTTATCTTTTTGAATTAAAAAATTGAGAAAGAAAATATAGATGTTTGGATTAATTTTTTGACTTTTTATGAAAAAATGTGTAATAAAAAATTGTAAAAATTGGTTTGTAAGAGAAAATTAGAATTGAGAGTTGTACAGCCGTAATTATTGACTTTTTGTGAATAGTGTTAACTTTTTAACTTTTTTAGTAACTTTTTGACTTATTCTGTACTTGCTAAACTTAGAGAAGTACGTGGTTTGCCATGGGATGAGAAAGAAATAAGAGGAGAAGAAGAAGAAAAAAATACAGAAAATTTGAAGAAAAATGAGAGAAAAGGTTCTTGTTTGTAATGGCATTAAGAAAGAAATTAGAGAAAAAAATAACAGTAATTTAGACTTTTTGCAAAAACTATTAACAGAGTTAGACTTTGCACTTCACTCAATTTTACAAGGGTTATGCGTATATTTCTAAATTATAGAACGGTAATGTGTTTTAGAGTCAAACCACGAGAGGGTAAAGTGTAATTAATCCAATTTTATTTTAATAACAATTGTGTCCTAAAGCAAAATTACTACAATGGACATCAAAATACACCCATGATATTATATCAGAATTTTCTCTGTACACATCTTTTTTAAAAAAAAAAAAAAAACTCAATGCACATCTTTTGAGTAAAAAAAAACTAAACCCCAGTTTCTCCATTGTTTCTCACTTAGTCTATTATCCATTGCTTGCTACACACTTCATAGTTCTCCTATTGCTTGCAAAGTAATACTCTTGTAGCAACTATCATATTGCTTTACTATCTAAGTTTAAACTCCATTACTTATATCATTTTCTCATTAGAATCCACAATTATTCTTGATTTTGTGATGAAAGAGTTATAAACCAATAGAAATTCAAATTCAAATAAAAATATTTATGGTAATAGCAACAGTAGTGATGAAAATATTAGGTAGTGTTTGGTAGAATTTTAGAATCACGATTTGAGAATAGAGTTGTATTTTGAGTTTGTAAGTTTTGGAATTATGATTTGAAAAGAGAAAATTTGTTTGGTTAAGAGTTTTGAAAAGAGTTTTGAAAAGAGTTTTGAATTTTTGATGTGGCTTATGAAATGAAAAAAGTTATTTTGTTATGAGTTTTGAAAAAAGTTTTTGAAACTTAATTCAAAAACTTATAACTCATAACAAAACACACAACTCAAAACTCTATTGAAAATTTTATTCAAAACTCATAACCAAACTCTTTTTAACATTCAATTAAAAAAAATAATTTGTCATTTTTGTCTAAAAAAATAATTTATATATTTAAAAAATATAAAAAATAAATATAAATTTTTTTTTTCCAAATAACAGGTGGTGATTGGCAATTGCCAAAAAAAAATTACACTGTTTCGGTCAACCGATTGGACGTCCGAGAGGATGACCGGGTAGACCCAACATTCAAAAACTCTTTTACTTTTTAGAATGAAGAAGACGAAAGAGAGAGAGCATGGATGAATCTACCAAACGTGAAAGAGAAATATGTTATGAAATGTGTGGTGGATTCACATTTTCAAAACTCCATCCAAACAGTGCATGCAAACGGAGTGGTGAAATTATGATTACAAAGATGCACCAGACACAACCTTAATTTAACAAGCGTAACATATTTTTCACATCTACAAAAAAATAAAAATAAACAATTAAATAAATAAAAATAAAAAATAAAAACAAAAACAAAATTAAATATTAGATTTTTTTTTTTTGTTACGAAATTGTTTTGGTTGAACACAGGCGTTGGTTTGTGATTTTCCACAGTAATAATTTTATCACTGAGTAGTTTGGAGGTGTTATTGGATTAACTTTTTCAACACTGATAAATTTATGAGTGAGTATAGAAATAGGAGATGAAAAAGTTGCATAATATAATGGTAAGATTCAAATCGAGTTACCATGCCCAATAAGTGTAAGCCTTATTCACTGTTCATGCTCTTGGTCTTAGATAGTGTTAATTGTTAAATTTATCACTAATGATTTTTGGATGTGTTTGACTTGCACTACAAGAAAAAACACTTTTGGCGACCACCTATTTTTTTTGGTCGCAAATAGTCCACTTTCTATGACTAAAATTTAACTTTTGGCGACCACAATTTTTTGGTAGCGGAAAATCACCTTTTGGCGACCAAAAAAAAAAGTTGGTCGCGGAAAGTATACTATTGGCGACCAAAGGCTTTTTTAGTCGCGGAAGATCACCTTTTGGCGACAAAAACGCGACAAAAAAAAAAGTTGGTCACGGAAAATATACCCTTTGGCGACCAAAAAAAAAAGTTGGTCGCGGAAAGTATACTATTGGCGACCAAAGGCTTTTTTGGTCGCGGAAGATTACCCTTTGGCGACCAAAAAAAAAGTTGGTCGCGGAAAGTATGCTATTGGCGACCAAAGGCTTTTTTAGTCGCGGAAGATCACCTTTTGGTGACCAAAAAAAAAAGTTGGTCGCGAAAAGTCTACTATTGGCGACTAGAGGCTTTTTTTGTCGCGGAAGATTACCCTTTGGCGACCAAAAAAAAAAGTTGGTCGCGGAAAGTTATGGCGGGATAAATTTAAAAAAAAATGATACTACAGTAATTACATGCTATTTTTCTATTTAGGCATTAAAAGTTTTATAAAATAATATATAACCCAATTTTTATGGGTTATATATTTTTTTTGTCAAATATGAACAAGAAGTATGTTATTGGCAGAGTGGCAGAGTGGATTGGGTGCATGGTGACTCCTTGGTCAGGAGTTCAAGTCCTAGGGAGCACAAAAGAATTATTTTTTTTGGGTCAAGGCGCTGACTTTTGGCGACCAACTTATCTTTGGTCGCTAAAAGTTTACTTTTGGCTAATATGAATTGGACTTTTCGCGACCAAAAAAGTTGGTCGCAAATGGTCACTTTTAGCGACCAAAGGCTTTTTTGGTCGCAGAAAACTATCTGTGACGAGGCTTTAGCGACCAACTCGCGACCAACATATTTTGGTCGCGAAAAGGTTTTAGCGACCAAATATGGTACTTTTCGCGACCAAACATGTTCGTCACGGAAAGTGTTTTTTCTAGTAGTGTTGGTTGATAATTTTATCACTGTATTAGATTTTGTTTTAGGTTATTTGAGTTGTTTGCTGAAATATAATTGTTGTTTGTTGCAAGATTAATAGTGATGAAAAATTCTTTGTTTCTTATGTGCGAATTTAGAGGTCTGACATTGGTTATCAAGTACAATGATGGATTTAATTTCAAGAATTTAGTATATAAATTGTATGCAAATTGGAGTGAGTTAGTTGGTAGTTCTTTGAATATATCGTATTCAATGCCTGGACATTTTTGTTATGGTCTACAAAGTGAAGATGATTTGGAGGTTATGGTTGGGCTCACACTTTCTTGTGATATCCATCGTATTGATGATTTTGTTAAGTGTTATTCTTTGGGTGAAGGTTATATGATTTGTGATGGTGAAGCTGGTAGTAGTAGTAGTGTTGTTTGTAAAACTGATTTTTTGCCTTCATTTTATTCAAATCAACGGAAACCTTTACTCTCCGATAGGTGGATTAATTGTATAACATGAGTGGGTCAAAGGTTTGCTCAAGGAGTTGTTGAATTTCGAGATGCGTTATCAAAGTATTCTATTCATTCTGGTTTTGATTTTGATTTTGTTAAGAATGACAAGGATGGTGTCACTATTCATTGTAAGAAAATGGCTGATTTGGGATGTGTTATGGAGCGTGCGTGCTAGAATGGAAAATTCTAGTAAAGCTTTTGTTATTAAACAATTGATGATGTTTATACGTGTGGATCTTCTTTTCGTACAATTAAACATATTAGGATGACTTCGAGTATGATTGGTGGACTAATTTCAAGTGAGGTTCATAATAAGGCTTTGACATCAGTTAGTGAGGTGGTTTGTGATTTCAATGACTATTATGGAACATAAGTTTCTTATCGGCGAGCTTGGATGGGTGTTGAAAAAACAAGGGATGTTGTTTTTGGTGACTATTCATCTTCATTTGACGATCTTCGTCGGTATGTGTAGACGTCCCCGAACGTCCCGGGAGGAAATCCCTCCCCCCCCCCCGTTTTGTTCATTGGGCTCACTACAGTTCAGGACTCAATGTCACGGTCCTGTATCTAATCTCGCAGAATGCAATGCAAGACCGATGAAATCATTAAAGAGTCCAAATCCGGCAAATCGTTTTTTAAAACAGATTTTTTGAAAGAAGTGCCAAACATGGACTGCTTTGCCAGATACAGAGTCGCCACCTAAATATTTTATTTTGAGGAAATTTAGGAAACCCTGACTCGTTGCCTAAGGCCACGTGTCCGTCATCACCAAAGTTGCCTCGGCTCGGGAACTTGGGTACGATTGAGGAAGGTCACTTTGTGAGCACCCCCGCTCACCCGATTAAAAATCGGCCTCTACTAACCATGATATCTAATTTTGAAAAACATTATGCGTTCTTATTCCGGTTATTAGCCTAGATTTACTATGTGATGCGCACATCATACAAATATAGACCGGGTCGCCTGAATTGGAACAGCATATCTCATGTTTGTTTTGAAAACGGTTTGCTACTCGCAAGGAGGCTAAAATGTGAATTTGCCACCCTCAGGTGGGCTTAGAAAATAAGGTGATTTGCCACTATCTAGTGGGCTTAAAACTCACAATTGATGAATTGTTCCAATCCAAATAACCCAATCTTCACCCACAGGCATTCAGGCAGGTATATCATATAAGCAAATAGCCTCATGGTAAGCATGCTATCATGGCAGTCACTCACACGCATGCAAGGATGCTAAAGCATAAAACTTACCGAGTATTCCAAGCCAAAACAAAAG